TTTGAAAATTTTCCAATATTTTCCCCCTGTCAGCTTCCATTGAATTCTAATTCAGTATATATTTCAACTCCTCATTATCTGAGTTTTCAGAGGATTGTGTTATCATTGTGGATTCTCCTTCACTTAAAAAATACAACAAACTGAAAAGAATGGTTTGCCAGTCGGACAGAGTCAGGATAAAGGTGAAGTTTTCACTACGGATAGATCTCACAAAAGAAATAGGCCAGATAGTACAGGCATTTCCTCAGGCTCCACAAGCACATATTTAACATACTGCCATATACCAAAGCACAGAACGATGGAAAAGTCCAGAGCTGCTGTCCTTGTAAGACTTAACAGATATATATATAATAAATGATTGAGAACAAAATACACAACGGGCTTCCAAAGGTTGATGGTTTATTCCTAGGGAATTTGTAGGACTTTAAATATTTCCAATCTACATAGCTCAAAAATTGAGATGGCTTCTATCACTTAAGCAGAACTTAAGTGCTTGTGACCTTGTGACATCTGAGGCTGAGAAACTAGTTGGTTTCTACTTCTATTTTTCATAGTTATATTGGCAAAGGACTGAAAAAAGTCTAGCTTCCACAAAGATGGATGTACCCACTATCTGCGGCTGAGCACAAGTATTTTGCTGTTTTCCAAGGCTTGTGTGTTTGGGTGAATGGATCTAAGAACTGCAAACCAAGATTTTCATTTGCCTGCACATTTTATCTGTTATATTTGAAGTTATAAATCAAAGGACAGAGTGGAGATAAATGTTTTCATTGCTTTTCTGAAAAAAAAACCCAAACAAAAAACAAAAATTTGCTTTGGACTGTCATAATTTTGCACAAGTATTTTGCTGTTTTCCAAGGCTTGTGTGTTTGGGTGAATGGATCTAAGAACTGCAAACCAAGATTTTCATTTGCCTGCACATTTTATCTGTTATATTTGAAGTTATAAATCAAAGGACAGAGTGGAGATAAATGTTTTCATTGCTTTTCTGAAAAAAAAACCAAACAAAACCCAAAAATTTGCTTTGGACTGTCATAATTTAAAAGCTAAAAATACTATATACTTAAAGGACCAGAGCTTAAGTTAATTAAGAAAAAAATATTCACTCTCAGTCTCAAATATTACCTTAGACAACATCACAAATCAGAAAAATATGCAAAATTTCATCTTCTCATAGACTCTAGAATAGCATAAATTGTTCTCTTAACATGACAAAAATCAGCGATGAAACTTAAATTTATCTGTTGACCAAAGTCAGCAGAAGAGTGAAAAGTCAACAATACGCTTACAAGTTTAAAACGCACACGGAGAAATTAAATACCTTTATCAGAATACACACTTTAAATATTTTTAAGAAGTTGCATCTTCCATTCATGCCATCTAAAAATATCCTCTCTTTTCTTACCAGAATAGCTGGTGCATCATAAATGTGTACATACAATACAGACACCCAGATAGATGATTAGCTAGAAAAGGGGAGGAGAAGTCGATGGTTGTCTGCAATTGTGCAAAAAAAAATTTTTTTTTTCTTTATTTTTGAAAGGGAATTTGGTTAGAATTTGGAAATAGTTCGGAAATAACCCATATTTCCTAATGGAAATATGCAAGGAAAAAAAAAAATTACTTCTCATGCTAGTCACCATTCAAAGTCTGTGTGAACAACAGAAAATGGTTGTCAAAAACATTCCTCACATGAACATTCATTTACACATCAAATTCTTGTCCCCTTAAGCTGCTAGTGAACCTCCCTTTTTAACTACACTTCGGCTTTTTATCCACATGGTCTTAAGAAGGACACACAGAGGAAAAATATAAATATATTTTGCAGATAGCCTTCTGTATTTTGTATATTCTTCCCATCTAGTGCACATAAAAAAACCAAAAGGAATGCGATCATTAATTTGTTACTTCACTGATTAGGAATTCTGCTTGGAAGGGTTAAGCTAGAAAGCACTTACTCTGTAACAAGCATTACAGAATTGAACACAGCACTGCAAGGGCTCGACAAATGTCCCTTCACAAAGAAAGGCTACATTGCCTACATTTTGTTCCATGCTGCCAGTTCATAGGGTTTTTTCCATGAATTATTAATGAATCATTGTGAACAGGCAGGAGAAATAAAAGAAATAAAACATGTAAAATTAAGCCTTTAAATTTTTTCCCCCTAGGTGTAACAAGAACGCAGATCGGAGAACTTGACAGCGCATAAGGACATGGGGATGGTATCAAAAATATCTGAATATACTTGTAAACAACTCCTGGTTTACAAATCTTGTCATTTGCAGAGCAGCTAAATCATCTGATGAGAGAGAAGGAAAGAATTAATGCCAAGACCTATTACCTGTCCCTGAACTGACTAAAAAAAGGCTGATGGCATCATGGCAACCCAACGGGCCGGAGATAGAGATATGCAGAGCAGAAAAACAGTGTGGAAATGAGTTGTGCAAGTAACATCTGCTAAGACCAACACTGCTATAGTTTCCACAGAGTTAGCTAAAAACGGGGCACTGTCCAGTTCCATTTAACAGACAATTCTGAGAAAAGTGTCTCTGTATAGAAGTGTAGAATAGGGGAGGGCTGTTCTTAAATTCTTGGACATGCATTTACATACGCGCATGTAGCACGTGTTTGTATAAATCAAATCATCATCTCGTCAGCCTTAAAAAAAATAGGGGGGCAACTCTACAGTATTGCTCACAGGACTATTTTATTGCTATCAAATACTGTCATACTTCTGAGCAAAAGCTGTGTCAACTGTGCGAAGGTTTTTGCCATTTTAGTTGTGGCATTCAGGTACAAGTCTTCTAATATTCTTGTCTCAAGAAACAACATGACTAACAAAGTCATCTGCTCAGAATTAAAACTATTACTTCTCATGGACTTTTTAACAGAGGGATTATAGGAGGACCTCAGCTAGATTTCCAGATGTGCACTTCTGTGCCTTTGAAGAGGGAAAATAAAGAAAATTAAACCTGTACACGTATAAATGTGTATTTGAAAATGTGAGATGCTTCCCTCTGTAATTGCTCAAAGGCCAAATTTGAGCATTCTGAAATTTGCAGTTTGGTGTCAATAAATTCCAAGTCTGCATCAGAATTCATGGCCCATCTCTAGAATTACTTTAAAACATTTTTTTTCCTCATGCCTGATATATTTACTTCAGAACTCAAAGATCAAAAAGAAAAGCCTTGCAAGTTCCTCAGTGCTAATCTGGGTGGCATCTTTCAGCTGCCCTTTTAAAGAATAAGCACTAACACTTTATAGTGACGTGAAATTAACTCACTGTGAGGAGGTATGGAGCTTACTGAACCTGTACTGAATCTGTCTGAGCTTGTTTCATGAAAAAATTAAAAGTTATTTCCCTAGAAATCCTTCTAGAAGTGAACTCTGGAAAAGCTTGAGAACACTCCAGGCAACAAAATATGTCTGCTCACAGCTCTGAGCTGAAAAACCCAACTGCTTGGTCTCATCATTGAACAAAATTCATGACAGATCTTACATTTTCGGTTTTGACTATTTGGTATCCATAATGTGGCAACAATTCCACAAGTTTTGATTGATATTTCTTCTATTTTACCTACACTCGTTGGCTAAATGCTTCTATACTTGAAATTATTACAGGTATCCAATCAAAAATACTTCCCCTGAAATCCACAGGCAGCCACCTCCAAATCAGTGACAACAATATCCAGTTCAAAACTTGAACCATTTATTCTTTGTGAGTGTGAACACCCTAAGAGCTTTGCATCAGAGACTTCTGCAAGCTGCATCACATATTTTTCAAAGTTTTCTGCTGAAAATGCACAAATAGGAGCCTGAACTACAGACATCGTGTGACAGGTTAAAAGGGAGGAAATGTAAAAAGACGGTTTTGCAGGTGGATTTTGACCTAAAGTAACTTCCATACTTTTGCAGCTTTACATGCATCTGTGGATACAGAGCAAGGCACAAAATATGAGAAGTATACTAAAGTACAGGATCATATTTGGGTATCAGAAAGTGACAGAGGCCCCAGGGGTTGAAGGGAGGACAAACACAAATTGTAGCCTGCCACAGAGCATAAAACCTCCCTCAAAGCCCTCCTGAAAGAAAAACCTCACAAATCACCAGGACTGGTTCCATAGCATTAGAAAGCAGCCGCAAAACTCTCCTCTCATCCCCAGAAAACTTTCCAACAAAAATGTCTGTGGCAGTCACCCAAGCTCTTGAGGGGGCTGGGTTTAAGTAGAGCCAGGATACACATGGAGGGGAAGAAATCTTCCAGAGGATTTGGCTCTAATGCATGCTCAAATGTGGCCTGTGGTACATTCAGACCTCGCCTGAGGCCTTTTCCAGATGTAAATTTTGTTGCCCTTTTGATCTACTATGCTCCTAAAAAGTAAGCTCCTCCTTTTCAAATTTAATGTGACTTTGGAAGATCTGCATGGAACAAAGCTGCTCTGCTCGGTGCCCAGGCCTGGGCACCATGCAAATAAATAACACAGGAAGAAATGGCTTCATTTTGTGCTGGGTCTGGTGCAGAGGAGCAGAAGGCAGGGACGTGAGGGGAAGGGCTCTGCCTTTTTGTCACCACCTGTGCCCCATTTCCCGCCTGCCGGCTCTCCTGTGGGCCACAAACCCGCAGCCCAACGCCATGAGAAGCCTCTCCCATGCAGTTTACTCCGAGTGACAACTTTCCCATCACTGCCTCAAACCTCCCCTTTGGAATCGCAGGGAAAGCGGCCCAGGTGAGGCCTCAGAGCTTTGTTTAGTTACTGTTCAGCTGTGGCTGAACAGTAGGAGAAGGGCCCCTCATCCCATCCTTCCAGAGGGGCTCTTTACCCCAGGCCAGTTCAACACAGCAAGTCCCTCTCCTCCTTCACAGGGGGCAGACATGGCTGAGGTGCTCACACAGACACCCTCTGCGACCAAAATGGTGGCGAATCCACCACAGAAACGCCGCACCCTTTCCTCAAAAGAGCTTTAGAGGAACCCCTCGCAAACCCAAAGCCCGCCTTTACCTGTGGCTGGGAGCTGGGCCTGCAGGCTGGCAAGGATGGCAATCCTCCTCCACTTCATCTTGCCGGGCCAGACAGTGCTGGGGATGGGAGAGAGGAAGAAGAAGAAGGAGAAGAAGAAGAGGCAGCTCCTCCACGGGCTGTGCTGGTGTGTGGCCGCCACAGGAAGAGGCTCGCCTCCTATGAGGGCTTTCGGAGTCCACCTGCCGGCTTCCTCTGCCTTCACAGCCTCCGAGTGAGGGCTGGGGTTTGCCTTCTTGGTATTGATGTTTGGGGTTTCCTTTGTTATTCATCCTCTTCCTCTCTGCAAGATGGTTTTCAGTGAGTTGGGGTTTTTTTCCACTTTGTCTGATGGTTCCTAGATCATCCCCACTCGGCGGCTGCTGGTCTCTCTTTCTGGTATCAAATTTGACCTGACTTCAAAAAGGGGTTTATGCAGATATTCCCAGTGTGCAGCACAGGGCATAAATAGAAATTTAAAACTGTAAGTTATAGTCACTTTTGAACAATATAGTTGTCTAAACACATAACGATATAAATCTCATTTCTAACTCCCGCTTTGCAAGAAATCTCACATTATTGTACTCTTTTTGAGTGCGGGCAAATAAAAATTTTCACTTTTTAATTAATAAAAGAAAACTCACTTTAGACAACTGTGAATTAGAAAAGCTTGAAAACATAGCTTAGATTAACCTAATGGCTTAAAGTTCAGCCTCATCAAAATACATCTGGCTCAACAGATCACTGAATGTTTAATGTTTACAACAGTAATACTAATAATGCACTTGAGGATCAGAGCTCAGGCTGGGAGGAAGTACAAGCATCTCAATGCAAATTTTTTTTTTCTCCTGTCTCTAATTATTAGAAAATAAACAGGAATGTGCATCCCCAGGAGGTTCAGAAACAGGTGATAAAAGTTTCCCTAAAATATGGTGGGATGAGAGTTATTGTGCACACAAAAAGCAAGGCTTTTGAAGGCAAAGTAAATTGAAGTTCTTGGAAGAAATTCTTCACCTTGCTGTCTGGAGTAATAAAGGCTAATACATGGAAAAAACTGTCTTTTCCTTTAATTGAATAATTATATATCGTGCCAGTCAATACCAAAAGTACTAGACACTAGTAGTAGTGTAGCACCAGGTGTAATAGTGCAGCATCCCCTTCTGAGGTACCCAGGCAGTGCTTCTGAGTCTCTGCTCTCTCCCAGCCCTGGGGAGGGTTTTCTTTGTGGCTCTTCTACCCCAAAAGTTCCGAGAAAAGGCTGGAGATGGGCTCTGACACCACCAGGCAGAGAGCAGAGCACAGCCCAGGAGAGCTGCCATGCACTGAGCCTGAACGAGGTGTCATTAGCCCCAGAAATGGCTGTGCTCAGGTACATGTTCTATATTCCAGTGCAAGCTGGATAAAGCCCTTTCTGTCCACATCTCTGTGTGACAGAAGATTGGCTGAAACAAGGAATTAGTGAGCAGAAAAAAGACCCCTTCTCTCACTGCTGGCTGCCTCAATCTCACTGATGCCTTATCCAAAAGCTGAAATATCATCCTAGTTATTGATATTTTTGGGTAACGGTGTTTCCAGAGAAGCAGATGGCACTGCTCATCACTATTCCACTGACCTCTGTCTCCTCCTGTTATTGATCATAGCTTCTCCCTCCGGCAGAAAGGCAGCAAATTATCACTTTGAATAAAGAGCTGAGGCCAAAGGTAAGGAAAAGAAATGAAGAGCTGTGTGAGAAAGAGAGATTAATAGCAACAGTAGGCACACTGGGAGAACAGCAGTTGGGCCAGTGTTTTTTGATGTCTAGATAGGGAAAGGTCAGAGAAATTGAGTATATGGACTTCACTTGGAAGAGTGGGTAGAGTTGGAAAAAGGCTTTGCATGACAGTGCCCCTAGAAATTCCCACCTCCCCATCCTTCAGCTTTTGAACTAAGGCAAGCTTATCATTATCCAAATATAATCAAAGTATACAGAAGAGCACTCAAGTTTGTATTATAGATTATTCTCACAACAAGCGTGGTGTGGGAGAGATGCAAATCACATGCAGACAAGCAGTAGAGGAAAAGGTAAAGGGGAAGTGGTCTCCTCTCTAGGAAAATGTTTTTCAGTGTTCATAAGGTTTGCAATTCTACCATGAGGAATGGTTTGCTTAGCATGTCACCTTCTTTTCAGCCTTTCCAGTCTTTGCATCTCCAGGAGCTACACAGCACTGTAAAAACTTCAGCACCTCCTGCCCACATTGTGCATTGGCCAGTGTTGCAAATGCACTTCTACCAACAGTTTAAACCATACTGATGTTCCAGTTTACTCACTTCAGTCAGATTGTCAGGACTTTGTTAACCCTGGACTAGAAATGAATGCCAACCCTCGTTCAGCTGAACCAGCAGCAATTCTTCTCAATACAGACAAGGCCACAGCGGAAATATAAAACCCTTCCTGCTGTGTTAAGAAAAGCTCTCAGCTAAACTTGACTCTTTATCTAAACATATGGGTGGAGGGAAGTACATTTTCAAGAATTACCTGCACTGGGAAGACTGCAATATTTGATCTGTGGTTCCTGAAACAGAATGGGTCAGGGAACTGAAGTGGTCCCCAAGTACAACTCAGTGTGTTTAATGCTGGTTAAGGTGCAGCTCATTATCCGTAAGGATAAGGTCTTTCATAAAGTAGTCAAGGCATACATTCAACTGGTTCTGTGCATCCATATGCCATCCTTTCTCTGGACACAAAAAATCCTGGAACAGCTCTAATGCAAGGGGCTGATTCATTCCCAGAAGCATTCCCTTTTCACGCTTACTGGTTATGCTTTGACTGTACTATAAAAAAAAAAAAGCAGCAGGGTTTGCAGTTTTACAGGAAATAAATGAAAACTAAAAAAAAAAAAAAAACAAACCCACACCACAGTCAAGCTGAGGATTAAAAAAATATATATAACTACACACTGCCCTCTGGCTCCTGTATTGCTACCACAGAGATATGCCTGTAATCATCACTGCAGACTGCTGGGATTGAGAACAGGTCGGTTATCAGGAGCTCTCCTAAGCCTATTTGATACAGTTAACACTTGCAGGCAAAATTAATTCCTACATCACCTGATGGAGGAGCTGGCCGACTTCAGAGATGTGAGAATCCAGACAGACTGCAGAGCCTTGCCCCTGGTCCAGCAGGGAGTGACGCTTGCAGTGCCATAATTAACTCAACAAGTATTAAAAACGTTTCTGAGATGTTCACACAAAGATAATGGGTGTTAAAAAAAGCAACAATTTTCACTGGTGAGCAAGCTGTAGCTTCCAGCCAGGCATGCCACTCAGACTAAGACAGTGAAAAGAAATGGTCTGCTGTTTATAGTGTATAAGCCCACAATTTTTATTGATAAAATGCTGGAGACTGACAGTCCTACACTGCTTCACTGCATTTCAATGCACTGTAGTGCCTTACAGTGCAGCTTCGATTTGCTATAATTGGGTTCAACTGTGCTAATCCCCTTGGAATGCAGCAATTAATACTTATTTAGTGGTAATGGCTGCATTCCAAGAGGATTAGTCCCTGCCCTGCACTTTTGCCAGCAAATGGAGAGCTGGAAAGAAGACAGTGTCTAACCACAGGTCTTGCTTTGCAGCTCCCAACAGGGAAGGAGAAGGAGTTGTTCTTGCTACAACTGCTCCCCTTTGTGTATGAAAATACTGCTTTTCCAAGGAAAGCCCACCTGACTGCCAGTACTCCTTGCAGCTGCATCGAGCAAATAGAAACCCTGACACGTGCAACAAGAAAAAAAAACCCTAACCAAACATAAAAAGGGACACCTGTGCAGGACCACAAAGACAAATACAGCCAGGAGGGCATGTTTCCTATGGGAGATTATAAACAGGCCCTGGTACAATGCAAAAACATATTTCTATTCATTATTTCAGGGATTTTTGTGACTGGCAGTTTCCTTTTTCCTGCTACGGTCTTAAAATCTTCAGTGCAACAGGGCTTATGGAAACCTATAAAGGAGTTGTTAGGTGAAAGTTAAAATGCACCCTCTTTGAATGCTCAACTTTGAGACTACTGAATCTGTAATATCCAATTTTTCCCTCCCCAGTGACACCTTTATGATCTGCTCTGGATTTTGTTGTTGTTAATGCACTCAAGAGACCAGTGCTTATGTCATATTTTAAGGAGGAACAGTGCTTCTTTTCTTTTCAGTTACTCAAGCTACTCTCTCTGGCATCATCAACAACCCTGTTAATTGCAGGTGAATTTCCCCAATTACATTGCAGCATATGTAGAGAAATTCTGTGACTTTTTCGCTACCCACATGCTTGAAATGCCCTTTTTAATTATAGAACACCTTCAGTATTTTCTTGCATGGCTGTACAGAACATAACTTATCAGGTTATGTCTTTTATAAATATAAAAATATTGTGAGGTTTTTTAAGGTCTGTGGCAAGTATCTACTTCTCCTTTATTCTCCTCCCCTCTTTACCCCTAGCACACACCTCTTCTGCTTGTTTGAAATGCTCACCTGAGGAAAAACTTAATTAACTGAAATTCACTTAAGCATTTAAAACAAATAAAAAATCCAATTCATGCTTGATTAGCAACCGTTTTTTGGCTAAAAGACAACAGGAAATTAGTGTGCAATGTTCCTATAATCATACAATGCAGGGTTTGTGCAACTATTTCTCTTTCTTATCTCTAAACAATTGCCACCTTTCAATCTAGAAAGTTACCTGTTAACACTGGAAGATGTTTAACAGGTTCCATTAGCATAAAAACATTATAGAAACACAAATTATCTTCCATGTTTTCACATAAATATACATGCTTAGATGTGCAATTACATGCTATTTCTTGACACTCTCTTTGTCCCCCTTTGCACACACACACCCTCTGTTTGGTTTTGTCAAATTACTCTCTGCTTGTAGCAATCACAGATTTATTAAAAAAGCCTTAAAATTAATTACTCACAAATTACTTGTTTTTAATCTTATTCTTCAAATAAAGCATTCCTGTCATCTAAGGGTATCAAGATGAGTTACAAATATTTTACACGAGTGCTGCAAACTGGTATCTATATTTTTATAGGTAAGGGGAAGGGAAAAGTAATCACGCAAAGTAAATTTACAATCTGAGTCAGTGACAGCAGCAAAAATAACATGAAGTGGTTCTAGACCTGTGTGGATACACTGACAATACTACCGAGGTCAAGGCAGAGACTCTCCTCT